CTCCAAGATTTTTTCCATAGGTCTTTGAGGATGTAGCTAGAGAGCCACTTGGGTCCCACCACCAGACTGTGGCAGGCCCTGTACCCACCAAAGCTAGGAATGAGGGGCAATCAGAGTTATCTTTTAAATATATAAATCAGGTAATGTCATTTCCTTGCCTGGAACCTCTCCAGTGCACGTAGAGACCTGGCCTCTGCCTCCCCTCTGGCTTCAGACCATTTCCCTGTGCCCACTGAGCTCTAGCACCCTGGCCTTCTTTCTGTCCCTGGTATGCACCAAGCTGCCTGGACCCTCTGCGGGGTCTTTGTCCTTAAGGTTTCTGCTGCTTAGAATGCCCTTCCCTCAGCCTGGAAATGTCTGGCTGACATTTCTGTAATTCAAAACCCAGTGAGGTTTCCCTAGTCTAACCTAGTTAATGATGTCCCCTACCAGTCACTTTCTATCATATCACCTTTTTTTCCTTTGTATCACTTGTTATTATCTGAAATGTATTTCTTTACTTGTATATGATCTGCCTCCCCCCATGAGCATAGAAGGTCCAGCCTGGACCTTAATTCTTGGTCACCACTATATTCCTGGCTCCTAGAACAGTGCCCAGCACATAGTAGAGGCTTACTGCATATTTTTAAATGGATGAAAATAAATGGAGGATAGACTACTTATCTAGATTATCTGATTCATGTGAGTACTAAACCTGAGATTCAAGACTCCAAACCCTTGGAATTCATCCACATTGGTGGTTTTTAAAATCATTATTGTTATTACCTCACTTTTATTACGATCTTACCACCATCATTATCAACAACAGTGCTACATGGCACATAGGGGTACTTACTGTTTCTTGAATGAATGAATGAATGAATGAATGGATATCAGCTTCACAGCTGACCTCAAACTACCTTTTAGTATCTTTTACTTATTTAGTCTTATTACGCCCCTCTACCTATCCCCATTTCAATTTCTTACTATGCTCAACCACTCAGCACCAATCATTTTCACCTAACACGCCATGTCTTCATGTTTCTGTATGTCGGCTTATTCTGCTACTCCTTGTAGTTGAAAATCCATTCCTTCTTTGATGAGTTCTTTAGGACCCAATTCTATATTCCATTGAGGTAGGTAGTCACTCCCTCTTTCATGCTTCTATATTGCTTTGCCTACACCACTGTTAAAAAGTCATCTCCTGATTTACAGTTGTTTGTTGACATGTCTACCTTTTCTCCCAGATAGTGAGCTCCTTGAGGGCAGGGACAGTCTATTTTCATCTCTGTATTCTCAGGAACCATCTCTGGGCCTGCCACATAGCAGTTTCATAATATTTGTTGAAATCCTCCATCTGGTACCTGGCATAGGCTGCCAGCAGAGCCATGTGCTAGGTCCTGGAAGAGAAGATGTACAATACTGGTCCAAAAAATGGTCTCTGGTCCAGAGGATTTACAATCTAATTGGAGAGACAATCTTTGTCATAGAAAAAATATTAAAAACCAGTGTATTCTGGAATTAAATATGAGAGGAGAAAGGTTGGTATGGCAGAATATGTACCGGACTATAGTAGCCAAAGACTTAGTTTCTGATTCCTACTTTACCATTAACTTCCTTCGTGGCCTTGACAATTATTTCTCTTCCTTAGATCTTGGTTTTCTTCCATGTAAATGAAGACGTTTGATCAGAAGCCTTGGATGATTTCTAAAGCTGATTCTAGCTCTTAACATTTGGAGTTTGGCTCCATGGAAACTGGGTTGAAGAGACTGTGGGGACAGCTCAGTAGTCTCGGTTTGCCCTCTGGTGGTCACTTTGGGACATCACAGTCCCAGGAGACGGCTGCAGGCCTTTTCTTTTACCAGGGATGGATGGAGACAGCAGAGCCTGGAGCCTAGTAAACAAAGTACTGTGGGACAAAGATCATCCTAGAAGAGAACCAGTCAGATTTCTCACTGGTCGTTGATAGACTGGGTAGGGTCACACGCCCCTCCTTCCAGGGCACTGGGTCCAGACGAAGTGAAGGTAGTAGAGGGATTTCTTTGGTGAGATGGGGCAAAGCAACCACTGCTAGAATAGGACACATGATTTACAGAGGGAAAGGTGATCAGCTAGCAGAGAAAGGTTTGCTTTTTAGGTGTTCACTCTGAAATGGGGTTGGGGAGGGTCATTTGCCCATTTATTTCCTTATTATCTATATGTTGAACCTAAAGGATTCCTTAAAGCCACCTCTATTCCCTCAGAAACAAGTCAAAGAGGAAATTGGTTTCTTAGACTCTTGGACCAGAGTCTAGAGGAAGAATAGGGACTCTAAAGGTAGGAAAGAGAGGAAGAAAGACCAGGGGATTGGGAGGGAGGTGCAGAGAGAGAGAGAAAGTGAGACCAGTTGCCAATTCTGAATGGATTTATAGGTATTGAGAGGGGAAATTGAAAGAACTTAAGGACCTGTTTTTTTCCACCAATGTTTTTGTTTTGCTGAACAAAATCTTTCCTTTTCTGACAATATTCTGTACTTCAAACCTTGCTAAACATTAAAGGCTTACATTAAAGGGATCACATTCATTCCACAGCACCTGGAATGTGCCAAATACTGTACCTAAAGCTGGCCCCACCAAAACTGGCTCAGCATCCATACTTGTTCGCTGCTGAATTCTCAGCACCTGTGTCATCCTGTCACACAGTAGGTGCTCAATAGATAATTGTTGAATAAATGAATGCTAGCTGCACTATACTTTCTCCCATGATATTTCAACTCCATGGGGGTGGCATGAGGTCTGCTTAGATTGTTTTTATTAGTCACTGATAATTACAGGGTCAAGAGTTGTCCTTGTAAGATACAAATCTGTATGTAATCCTTTTTTGGTCCAAATATTACATCTTTCAATGGTCCTCTAATATCCTGAGTTTATTTCTCTGCAAAATGGAGATAATAATATGTCAATTTCATGGGGTTACTTTGGTTCTAAATATTATTGCTTAGCATGCACCTAACACATGGTAGTTGCTCAGTAAATTCTAGTTCCTTCTCTTCTCCAGTTTTCTAGCCTAATATCCAACCCAACATTCTAGCCACATCAAATTCCTTATCAGTTCCACACAGATTCTAACTTGTATACCTTTGGGCCTCTGCTCTTTTTTGCCTATGCCTTCTCCTCTACCTGGTGAACTCCTTCTCTACTTTCAAAACAGAGTTTAAATGTCCCCTCTGTGAAACCTTCCCCAACCTCCTGCCCCACCCCTTGCTCTCTGCTTCCACAGTACCTTGTATGTGTCTCAATTGTAGAGCTGATAATTCTGCTTTAATTATTATTTTTTCTTCTGTTATAATTCTTTACTTATACTTTTGCCTCTCTGTTAGGCTGTGACCTTGAGGGAGGCAGGGACCAATTCTTATTTGTATCTGTAGAGTGTTTGGAAAGAGTTTGGAGGAGGATGGAAAGATGACAGAGGGTTAGCTTTGCAAAAAGAACTACTTCTTCCTCTGAAACAAAAGGGAAGAAACTGAAGAGGAATGCTAGGAAGAATGTAGCAAGAATCTGTAAAGCAAAAGGGAAGAGGCCAAATCTCAAGAGGAAATCCAGCTTGAGGGAAGAATACGGTAGGAAGACCTCACCACCAGAGGAGGAAGACAGATGAAGAGGGTAAAGGAGACTTGGCACTGTTGTGGTGTGAACCTTCTCCTTCCTAGATGTGTGAGGGCTCGGGATGGACTTGGAGCCTGGGCTGGCAAGAAGGGCTTCTTGGGCCTGTGGGGAATAAGAGCCTGTGCCCACAGAACTAGGCTGACTGGTCTTGCTTCACATCTGAGCCTTTCAGGCCAGCGGGGAGAAGCTAGAGCCTCCAGCCAGAGGGAAGAGGGAAGGTTTGCCATGGTGTGTATGCGAGCTGAAGGGCTAGCGGTGGTACAGAGCCATGGACACACTGTGAGAGGATGGCAGGAGATTTTGGCAGCAGTGCCATCCTCAGAAAGTATGGCAGGAGTGGCAGAGCAAAAGCAGCTGGAGAGGAAGCACTGGCATGGGTGGCACCTCTGCTATCTGTTCCAGTTGGCATCCTTCATGCCTGCATTAAAGTGAGTATGGGAGTCCCTCCTCTGGTGCTCTGTGGTACAGATGGGGGCTTAGAGAAAAAGGACACATGAACGCAGGATTGGTCCACTCTGGGCTGCTGGACTAAGCTTCTTAGATTGTTTTCTAACTTACAGAGCATCCCTGACAACCATTTTCAGGTGATATTTAAAAACAACAAGCCAGTGTCTCAGTCAGGTAGTTCAATGCAAACAACAGAAATTGTGAGGAATTAAAGAAAAAAGGGAATTTATTGAGAGTTGACAGGAAGACTGGAAAGTCAGATATGGAAAATGGGTTGTAACACAGAAGGCCAGGCAGCAGGGACCACAACCAAGTTCCCACATGTCTCAGGGACAACCTGGCATGGCCCCCATCACTACGGTAGGCACACCACCCCCTACCCACACTCCCATCAGGGACCCACTACAGGTGGACACCTACTATCTCTGTTGCTCTGAGTAACTCTAAACTTGTCATTATGTCTTCATGTCATTCCCTGAAGAGTCACAAAGTTCACAGAAGTGTGGCCAGGGGGTTCCCACCTGGGTCACATGTCACCTTCTGCCTGCTAGGGGACAGAGAATATCTCCCTGCTTCAGCATCCCTAGTCTTTGCAATGCTGCACAGAATGGGGTATTCCCTCAGGTAGGAAGGGGTCAGGATGCTGAAGGTGAACTAAAAAAAAATGTCCACAATGCCCTCATCTTTCAGACTGCTTTTCTTTTCTAGTTACTGTTTTTGTCAGTTGTCAACTGTGATCCTCATCTCAGGCCTCTAGGCTTGACGCTTTAGAATTATCCTCATCTGCCCCATTTTTCCACGTAGTGAATGACTCTCCAGATTTCTTAGGTGTGCCTTGCCTTCTGTCACTGCTACTGCTTTAGTCAGATTCCTTTGGTAACAGTAGAGGAATGAAGATGCAGGAAATTAGGAAGTAACACTTCTAGAATACTAGAGCTAGAAGGTACCTTTGAATTTATTTATTGCAATGGTCTTATCTAGGAGTATTCATTAGAATTCCTATGGCATTGAAAAAATACACAGGCTGGCATGCTACCCTCAGGTTTTTGGTCCAGATAGTTCTGCGGTGGGACTTTGACATATATATGTTTGTGTGTATCCTTCTGAGCAGGTTGAAAACTGCTGAATTCCAATAACCTTGTTTTCAAAGATGAGGAGACTGAAGCCCAGAGAGAAATTACATGTTTGAAATCATACCATGAGTTAATGAAAGGGGGACAGAGGCCAGGACCAATCCCCAGATCTCCTGGCTACTCAGACCCTTTGTTTTTCCCTTCTGCAAAAGGAAATTTTCTGTTTTTATTTGTATCCAAGAAAGCATGCTACACCTCTGTGGTTCAGCTCCTCCAATAGTAAATAGACTTCAGATTACAAGATCCAAACTGTCAGGAGTGAACAGCACAAAGCAAGGGCCCTGTTTTTAATGGTAATTGGCATCATCTCCAGGCCACAGGCCTCCTTGTCAGAATCGGGACAAACTGTCCTCAAGAACTTCAAGTAGGGAGTGAAATGCGGAGGACTCCTGGATAAAGGACAGTCTAGCTGAGGCCGTATTTGTGTGTTTGGCAGGATTCTGACTGTCTGGGCCTCTGTGCACAAGCCTTTGGTTCAATTACTCATTGACTCTTCTTGTATTGACTGTCTGTCCTTTAGCCACCTGGTTCCCATTTTGGGAAACCACTTCTTTTTCTGCTCTCCAACTTCCACTAATCGCTCTGCCTTGGATTGGTTTAACATCAGCTCAGGCACTGTTTCTGGGCAATCTCATGGAAATCCAGGGCCTCTGATAACTTCTATTACATTATGTTGCTTTTTCGATTTTGTTCTCCTTTCCTATAAAGATTCCCAACAGGAAATGCCATTTGCTTCATGCCTTCCTTCTCCAAATGTACCTGAGTACAAAGAAAGCAAAGAGTGGGAGAATTGTTTTAGTAGAACCTTCTATCAGAGGAGAGTCATTCTTTCTCCTATACTGTCTACACTGAGAAAGAGGGTTGACATCAAAGTCTGAGCACCTCATCAGGTGACTAGTCCAAGCAGGAACGACATGGCCAGACTTGTCACTTAGGAAGCAACTCTAAGAGCAGTGGAGGATGGACTGGAAGATGAGAAACTGTGGGTAGGGAGACAATCTATACAGCCTACTTCAATTATTGAGATGAGAGAGGATAAGACCTGAATTGGGCAGTGAGAATGATGAAGAGGACAGTCTACTTGGGAAAGTAGTAATTTTGGTGGGAGAACTGACAGGACTAAGAAACTGACAGATATGGGAGATGAGAGAGAAGTACAGATTAGGAGGTTTGGAGCATGAGCAATCGGGAGCATGGTACCTTTAATAGAATGCGGGGAATAAGAAAAGCTGTTTTGAAAGGAGGGTGGAAAAGACAGTAAGTTTAATTTTGTACATGAGGGATGCACATTCAAGATGTTTCCATCAGGCAGTTGAATATGCAGGGTTGGACGAAGGAGGTCGGGACTGCAGTTGTCAATCTGGCAGTTTCAGCTGGAAGAAAGTGTGAGGTGGAGGCACTGGCAAAGAACGAGAGAGAGAGAGAGAGAGGCCTGGGGTCTGAGCCTAGAGGGTCAGGTACATTTCAGCCCCAAACAAAGGGAGCGCAAGACAAGGAGTCTGAGAAAGAGCGGAGGGATTGGGAAGTGAAGCAAGAGTACGGTTTTGCTAGCCAAGACAGGGGAGCTGCAGGAAGGGATGTGGCGAGGAGGGAGGATCTGGAGGTGAGGACTGACAAGTGGCTGTTATTTTTGGTAGTTAGTTGCTGGTCACGTTGGCCTGTCAGTCACAACAGCTACCCTCACGTCAAATGAAGCACTGAGGCAGGATTCTGGACAATGCACCTATTCCCCATTCACTTTCTCCTGTTATCAGAGTATTGAAGGATAAATACGTACAATTACTTCATGAAGTTTAATATTGCTTAGACGTTCCAAATAAATCCCCTTAGCTCTCAACTTCACTCAGTTTAGTGAGAGGAAATTACCCCTGGAGGGCGAGGCTGAGGGCTGGATGTATAAAAGATGACTGATAATTATTAAGGAGTCTTACCTCTCACCAACAAAGTCCCGGGAAGACCTCCTCCGGGCCCACTGAGGCCCCGCCCCCTAATGAATATGCAGATAGCGCTGCCCGCCGCGCACTGCCCCGCCCTCTACCTTCTCCCTCGCAACCGACTCTTCCTTCAAACGGGAAACAAGATGGCGGCTGCAGGTCCGAGTACGCGGGCCTCTTCCGCGGCTGCAGCGGCAGCTCTGAGTCGGCGGGGCCGGCGGGGCCGCTGCGAGGAGATGGCAGCCAAGACCGGCGCCCGGGGCTCGGCTTCTGGACCCGCGCTGTTGGTGCTGCCGCCGCCGTTGCTGCAGCCGCGGCCGGAGGAGTCGGGCTGCGCCGGGTGCCTGGAGACCCCGGGGGAAGCGGCGGCCCTGCCTTGCGGCCACTCGCTGTGCCGAGGCTGCGCCCAACGCGCCGCCGACGCCGCTGGCCCGGGCTGCACGCGCTGCCGCGCCCGCGGTTCGGGCTGGGCCCGCCGTCGGGCCCGCGACGACGGCCAGGCCGACGCGGAGGGGCTGGGCGAGCGCGCCCGCCGCGGCCCGCCGGAGCGCTGCCGTGCGCGTCGGGACGGGGGCGCGGCCGCCGCGGGGCCCAGGCCGGAGCAGGAGCCGCGCGCCGCGCCCGCGGAGCCAGGTGGAGCTTCCCCTCCTCCCCGCGGGGTCCGAGCAGGCCGAGCGCGCCCGGCCCGGCCTTGTGAGGGGTGGAGGGTCCCAGGCCCTGCTCGCCAGGGGCGTAGCGTTCTCGGGGTTGGGAGCCGGGCTGTGCCCAGGTGCAGTATCTCTTTCTGGATTATGAACTTCGAGTGAAGTACAGGGACGGAGGATTTGGAGGGGCGACGAGGGGAGCCCGCGCCTTACGGAAGTCAGAAGTTTGGAGGGAACCACAGGATTCTTGGATCAAGTTAGGGCCGGGTTGAATTGGTGTGTGGACGACCGGTGCTAACTTTGCAGGGCCCTGGAGGACCAGAGAAGTGTTCGGTTTAATGTTGGGTGAAGTGGCTCCTGGGCCTGAATGGGTCAGTGAGAGGTGTGGAGTATCCGGAGTTCAGGGGACAGGTTGAATTTGAGGATGTGAAGGAAGCTTTTCAGACTTGAGAGTGGAGTGGGTTGGGAGAATGAGGTCACATGTGCAGTTTTCACAAACTTGAAAAATACGTGCTGAGCAGAGAGCTTGCCATAGAGAAAAAGCAATAAATGATGGCTGTTTATATTTATAATACTAATAATTCATAAGCTTCAGTAGTGCTACACACACACACACACACAAAAAAAAAAAAAACTAGATGAGGTTTTGAAGCTTTGAGAACGGAGATTGGTTGGTGGGGACTGCTTCTGTCTCCAAGACGCTGTAGGTTTCCTACTATCCTGACAATAATTCTGTGGCAGGACTGTTGCCTTCAACTTCTTTGCGTTTCTTACCTCCTGTAGCCTGCTACTCTGTGGTGCTGAGCTTGACAGAGAAAATGCCCTGTAGTAACTGTTGAACCACTCTGTTGTTGTGTACTTGAAACCAATATAAGATTGTGTATCAGTGCTTCAATTAAAAAAAAAAAGTGCTCGGTATACAACACAAAACAAACTTAAAACCTAGGGCTCTTTTTAAAACACATCTAGTCAACACAACACTTATGACTCTTCTATAAAAAAATGCTTACCTAGGAGGAGTTTGTCAAGAAACATAGTCCGGACAGGTCAAATATTTGCACCGTTTGTGTTGGGAATTCTGCCGTCCATGTGTTACTTTCAGTAGGGGAAAGGAAGAATTGCTTCTGTAATGAAGTGCATCCTTAGAAACTGCGAGTTCCAGAATGCAGTCTGTTTTGATTCCAGCAGCCAGACACCTGCCAGTGTCCTAGAATACCTTACTTCTATTTCTCCGGTCCTTTTTATTTCTTCTAAGCTTCACTTCCTTATGAGATACTTTTATTTCCATTTTACAGATGAAACTGAGGCCCAGAGAGGTTAAGTAACTTGCCTAAGAATTAAAATCTAATTCCATCTAATTTCTGCTCAAATCAGGGATGAAGGCCTCGCCAAACAATCTAATTTGTGGATGCCATGTGATGATCTCATATGCAACTTTGCTTCAAATTCTAAGATCATGGTTAAAAAAAAAAAAAGTATTTTTCTGGTCTCCCTAATAGTATTACTGGTTATATGGTCAAACAGTATAGAAATTTCTATTTTTATTTCTAAAACTTGGACCCTTTATGAAATATCAGTTCTGAAATTGGAACTGTGAGTGGGAACATGACTTAATGCGAACTTTTTCTGTTGAAGAAATTTGTCATAAAATGTATCACTGATTACGGAAAATTATGTGAGATTGCAAATTAGAATCTTTTGAGTCATTGAGTATCCACCAATTACTTTATATGTTTATATGAACCATAATGAAAAATATTTTTCCTTAGGTATTCTTTTTGGATCAGTCTATAATTACATGCTTATTAAGTCAAAGCATTATGGAAGAATATTGCTGAACAGGGCTTGGGAATTATCTAGCTTCAGGGGGTTGTCTGGACCTCTTGAGGTTATATACAGTATTTTTTTTTCTTTTAGTTTTAATAGGCAAAGTGTTCACATAATTCAAACATAAATGTAAGAAAGTGTATGAAGAAAAAGTTCCTGCTATCCCTTTCCTCATTTCCTATTCCCACCAGTGATTCTTGTTTATTCATTCAGTTTCTTTATGCTTATACATGAATAGCCAAATATATTTGTTTTTTTTCTCTTTACTTGGAAGGTTGTATATACACAGAGTTCTGTAAGTTTTTTTTTCATGTAACAAGACATGATGGAAATCTTTTCCTATCAGTACGTTGAAGTTTTCTTCATTCTACTTACAGTTACAAGGGATTTCATTGAACAGATATAACGAAATTTACTTATCCATCTATTGGTGGGCGTTCAGGTTGTTTCCAGTCTTTTGCTGTTACAAATAATTGTTTATAAAATTGTTATGTAAGTGTGTATGTGCATTTTTATGAAGAGTTTGTCACCAGTAGCTTTCACTAGATTCTCAAAGAGTTGCCAAAAAAAAAAAACCAAAACGTTAAGAACCATTGTTTTATCCCAGGTCCTTCATTCTACAAAACAGAGAACTGAGGACCAGAATAGGGAAGAGTGAAAGGTCATGGTGAGTTAGTAGTAGATAGACAGGGCTGAAAGAGTAACCCATAAATAAGGGCTAAAACAGCCTAATTCAGGGTTAAATGTTCATAATGTCTTTAAATAGGGAAAACTAAAAACACCAGTTTTATAAATACTTAACTTTTTTTTTTTTACAAGTGGGAAACAATAGAATTAGCAGTTTTAGGTATATTCAGAAGTATATTGCTTAGCACTATTCTCTTGGCATAGTTATGTCAATTAATAAAAGGTCAAGCCTACTTTATGATATGGAAAAATGAAATTTCACAGAAGATGCACTGGTGTTTAAAATTCTTATGATTTTTAAATTTTGTTAAAGCCGTATCCCTTTTGGAATTGAATCGTCTATAAAAAAAGGAAGTTTGTGCTTGTTGAAAATTTTGATTATGTCAGTGATACATTGTTTTTCTGCCAGCTTCTTGGCAAGCTTTAAAGTTTAGAACCTTAATGACTCCTGTGTGGAATGTTTTACTTTATTCTTATATACATTGTCAATTAGCTTTTCGATATAGTATTAGTTGATTTGTGCAGTACTGTGTGAAGACTGTCAGTGATCATTGATGAACCCAGTCTTCAACTTTACATTCTTTGAGGATCTGCATTGTACATATTGAGCAATATTCAGCAGGTATGTAATGAGTGCCTGTTCTATGCCAGCACTGTTTTAGGTCCTTGGGAGACATCAGTGGATGAAATTATTTAAAGATCTCTCCCTCTTGGAGCTTATCTAAATTTAGAGGCAGTCCTGGACCATTGATTTAAAAACAAAACATTGTACATAGGTAGATTTGCAACTATATACAATAGCAACACTTAAGCCTTATTGATAATAACTAATGAATTTAAAGAATTTATTTAGTTTTTTTATTTGAAATCAAGGATAATTATTCTAAATTATATTGCCTTTGAACTTGAAACTGAGACCCTATTAGGACAGGTCTTTGTCCTCTGCCATGAGCAAAATTGAAAAGAAAAGCTAAACAAAGGCTGATGAATCTTTTAAATTGGTAGTAAATTTTTTTTTCTGTTTGTAGTGTTAAAAGTGCAATTCAGAAATTAAGTAGATCCAAAAAGTTGAATAGTGCCTCATTTATCCACTTAGAGTTAACGTTTATATATTTTAAGAATTTCCTGTATGTGAAAAACAAGTAGTTCTGGTTTATTACTCCGTTGGCAGACTATATTTGCTATGTGTGCAGCCCAAGTTGCATTTAGGACTAATGAATAATGAAATCATGTGCTTGTCGTGTAAAAGGACAGGAACTTTCCTCGTCTGTAAGGATTGGTTTGAAAATGTATAAAATGACTGAACTTTTTATTCTTAAGGACACGTATTCCAGAATTTGGGAGTGTCTTTATGTGTTATATTAAAGCAGGAAACATTTGCCTTGTGCTTATGTGTTTTTTAAAACTCTGGACGAGATTACCTTGTTAAGTAAACACTAATCTCCATTGAAGGAACAGCTCATTTCTATAGAATTCAGGATTGTGCTGCAGGAATTTTAGGATTTGTTTTTGTTTTTATTTGTTTTTGTTTATTCACATTTCCACTCCTTATTCAACTTCCATTTAATCTTGGAAGAGTTGCCTACTTTGAATTTATTTATATCTGAGCTTACCTAGAGTTTAGGATTTAGGCTCTGTTTATCATATTTCATTCCACTACTTCAAAAAGCATTTGGTAGAAGATATGGAGACACATATGGTGTAAGATAATTGAATAAAAAAGTCAATAAGATATTGTCCTTGTACTTTAAGATTCCATAGTCAGGTTGGCAAAACACATCTATTCAAATAATAATAAAAAGGGTTGAGTGAGGTAAATGCATTGCCAACAGAGTATAGGAATGGGCTAGCTGACCAGTCTGAAGGAAACCTGAGGAAGGCATTTGAGCTGTTACGTTGAAAAAAAGAGAGTTGGAATTCACCAGGTGTTGGGAGGTGTGAGATGGCCATTCTAAGCAGAAGAACCTGCATATACAAAGGCATGAAGGTGTTTGGCATTTTCCGGCACTGACAAGAAGTTAAATATAGATGGAATGTGGGACTCGGGTGGGGAAGGAGAAGAGACTAGAAGTTCATGATCAATGTCATGCTAAAAGAATTTGAGACTTTATCCTATGGACAGTGCAGGGCTCTTAAAGATTTTTAAGTAGTGGAGTGACATAATGTCCTCTAAAAAGACAATATTCGTTGGAGTGTGGAGGAAAGATATGAGTAGAAACTGGAGGAAAGGAGTCCAGTTAAGGGACTAATTTAGTAGTTCAGGTAAGAGATGAAGAGGGGTAGGACTAAAGCAATGGCTGTGGGGATATTTCCTTCAGTTATTCATTAATTTAGTAATCATTTGAGGGCCTTCTTTCTGCTAGGTACTGAAGCTACAAATAGAAATAGAGCATGATTCTGTCTCTTAAAGTCAGTGTAGTGATAAGATTGGTATATAAACAGGCAACTGAAATATGGTATAGAAATGCAATTATA